GTGGATTTCACGATGAGCTGACATCATTTAGAGAACCCTTTGAAAACCAGCAACAAGCACTGGACAGCTGTTTCGTCCTAGTTTAGGACTCTTCAACAGTTCGCATCCATAATGCAGAGTTCTAATTCAGAACCTTATGGTTAAAAGGCCAGCTCGTAGTTAGAATGCATGGGCCATTGGATCGAGTCCCAGTGGATCAATGGTCTATGAGCTTGCCTTGTAACCAGAAGGTTCTGAGTTCGAACCCTGCATTGTGGGTGCGTACTGATGAAGAGTCGCAGTGACTGAGGACGAAACAGCTGTTCAGTACTCCGAGCTGGTTTTCCAATGATTCTCTAACTGATGTTAACTCATGATGAACTTCTTCCAGTCAAACAAAATCCCTACAAATCTTTGAAATATACAAAGACCTTCAAGAGTTAATTTGTGGGGATTGGATTATATTCAAGCTTGACGGTGGATTGATATCAGTTAGAGAACCATTAAAAGCCACCAAGAAGTACTGGATAGTTGTTTCGTTTGAGAAATGTAACGGTTAAGGCGGTTCATGCAATCACTACGCATTTTACCTACTCGGATTATTCAGCGATCCACATGTAAATATTGAATTCACTAGGGAACATGAAAGTGATGGAAAGTTTCATTTCTTTGATGTCGTCAAACAAATCCCCTAGAAGATGGTTATCTCCAGATGTCATTTTACGGAAAAGGTACATGGAATGGAAACAACTTACATTTTAATACTTATATCTGAATAACTATAAACGAGCACTAGTCAATACTCTGTACTGTAGAGCTACGAGAATATGCTTTACAGAAGAAATTAGAGTGAGAATTTCTAATTCGTGAAAAGATGTTAAAAAAACAATGCCTGCCGTCCCAAATTTATTAGCAAGTACTGATGATGTGAAGGCTGAAATACAAAACAAATCACAGTGGAAAAGAAATTTATCTTCATTCAAATCGCTTTTAAAGGTGATATCATTGCAAGAGTGGTCAACAGAAGATTGAGTATCTAGCTAGCTAGAACTTGTCCTCAAGCTAAGTTGGTTCCCTTTTATCGGACAACATGCTTTTTGGTACAGTCAAAAGACGACAGATACACGTCTCATGTTAACTCTAACTGTGTATACAAATTTATATGTATCTGTGGTAGTGGCTGCATTGGAAAAATGGAAAGAAGGGCAAGCATTCGAAAATGTACCAAAAGGGGGATAAACATTTACATTACTGCTATTCGCAAACATATCATCAATAGGGATCACAAGATGAACCTCACGGAGCCTTTCATAATTATCAGTAGAAAATATAGATGAATTCTCTAATTTTGTCGAAGCAATATCTGCTAAACACCTGAAACCCAATTTATGTGTTCTAAGAGAATCAGTTGTTAGTCTTTTTTCCCCTTGTAACCAGTTGTCTTTGTTCCTTCTTTCACTTGATTACGAAATCTTTGTCTTTAAATGCACCCCAGTTTGATACAGTGTAACTTTGCTTGTCTCTTGTTTTTGTGATTTGACCTGACCTCACCCCACTGCTATTCAATTTATTAGTTACTCATCATATTACTCACTTTTTGTCTTTATCACGTAACTCCTTTGTCATTTTCAAATGTCCTGGGTTCGAATCCCGGTGGGTGCGTACTGCTGAAGAGTCCCAAACTAGGACGAAACAGCTGTCCAGTACTCCCAGGTTTTCCAATGGTTCTCTAACTGATGTCAGCTCATGATGAAATCCTTTGTCATTGTTAGGAAACATTTATTTTTCTTTAAACTTGAACTCTCTCTCTGTGTAACTTCTGGTCACTGTTTATCAACTTTTGAGTGTCCTGTCGACCGAAATCATATAATATTTGAAAGTATTTGTAAAATTGTTCCGTACACTAACTTAATTGAGAAGATTTGTAGCTCAGGTGGATGGATGATTTGCAATGTAGTAGTGTTCCCCGAGCTGGTTGGTTTTGTTGCGGAGCTTTCGTCATCCCCCCTCTGGACAACATCCCTTTTCAGCGCAAGTTTTAGCATAAAGTGAAATGATTTAAATTTTGCAAGTCAATAAAACATGATCAATACCTATGTAAAGATGGTTACTGTAAGATGCGACTCTATCACTCATGGAAAATTTAAATTATTTTCTATAGTTTGGTTTGTAAGGGTTAGTTTTGTTTTTACGAGTTGATCACGGATTGATATCAGTTAGAGAACCATTGAAAATCAGCACTGGAGTAGTGGACAGCTGTTTCATTCTAGTTTGAGAATCGTCAGCAGTACACACCCACCGCCTAGGGTTCGAATCCGGGATCTTCCGGTTACAAGGTAAGCTCGTATACCATTCAACCACTGGGATGCGATTCAGTGGCCAGCCCACGAATTCTAACTTCTACTAATTCGTGATTTACCGCGACCACAACCATTGTCGTAGGTGGGATATCCATCCCCACCTATGATATCTGGTTGGACCTCACTGGTGATGACTTCTCACTAGAACTCCAGGAAACTCCATCCTGTAGCAAGTCACTAGCGAGCATCAGGCCCCAGCGGGTGCGTACTGCCGATGATTCCCAAACTAGAATGAAACACCTGTCCAGTACTCCCTGTGGCCAGTTTTCAATGGTTCTCTAACTGATATCAATCCGTGATCAACTCGTAAAAATTTAAATCGGTTTACTTTATGCTAATAATTGCACTGAAGATGTTGTCTAGGTGGGGAGGGGGACGGCGAAAGCTCCACAACTAAACCAACCAGTTCAGAGAACACTACTACTAATTTCAAATAAACTTAATAAATTCTTTAGGTTGTACTCAGCTAATGAGAAGCCAACGAAATAAGCAATGATGGTACCATCTTATTCCGCACAAACTGATGTTCTTACTTTACTCAAATTCACAAAAGGGTAGAAATCTATGAAGTTTTATGAAAAAAAGTATACTTGATGAACGATGACTCAAAATAGTTTTGAGTTCCTGTAATCATGTTTAGTTTACTCAAAAAATTACATCATTAGATAAAGAGAGCTGTTATCAGTTTATTACTGAATCACTGAGTTAGATCACGTGTTATATCACCTGAGTGGGAGATTACAGGTTGGGCGTCCAAGAATGACATGTAGGCAGTTGTATAGGGGGGTGGGCGGAGATGAGAGCTTTCAGGCGATCGTGAGACCAGTAGACAAGGACAACAGACGAGAGAATGAAATGGAGGGCCTATGTTCCATTCGGCCACGGTGGAACAGCGGTTAGGACGCTCGCGGACTATGCACATGGTTCGGGGTTCGATTCCCGGCCACAGACGCACTCCTTTACCTCGCTAAGCCAGAAATAATGCTGGTAAAGAGGAAAGGTTGGGCATGAGGCTAGCAACCCCATCCTGTAGAAATAAACACTGCTACAGAAACTTCAAGCCTCTTAGCTTGAAGCCCTGTGTTCCAGTGGGGAACGTGAAGAAAAAATATGTTCCATTCGGAACCTAAGAGAATAATAATAACAATAATAATAATAATAGTCACACTGAATCACTGATATTTATTCTTTCGCTGAATCACTAAGAATCACTAAAGTATGACATCCAAACTGATTAAATTACGAAGGAATACTAATGTTGATCATTGGTCATTAATACACCCACCGTAGTAACTTGGTAGTTCCCATGTGATCTTTGGCCTCTTAGTTCTCAACGATTCTTCAACTGGCGGTGTTAGTATCTCTAATTTTACTTCACGAATATAGGCTTTGTAAGCTTTCTCAAATGTATGTAATACATAAGATTCTTTACCTATATTTTGAGGGTATATTTCAGACGATCTTGCTAATATGCCAATTGAAATGGTGTTAATAAGATGAGTAGGCTGACAAACTCAACTAGAAAATGTTTTACAACTGAATATTACTTGTTTGGTTACATTGTGAAGACTTTAAAAATGACATGACATTTTCAAGTACACCATATTTTGGGTATTAAATAAGAAATTCTAAGAAAATTTGATTAATAGTTTATTACACAATCATACACTGAATAACATATGAGACTACATTTTATGCTTCTAATCATTACAAAGTATGAATTTAGCTATAAAGTTTCGGGCAGGAGTTACTTATTCATTCACGCCAACTATGATGAAATCCTCCATGCAATCAAACAAATACCCAACAAAACCAATACTTGAAAATTAATCTAATGCTCACTAGTGACTGGCCCTGTTCAGGCAGTTAACCTGGGGTTCTAGTGGGAAGCCGTGATCAGTAGGGTACAGCAGGTTGAAGATGAGGCAGTAACTCATCGAAGAAGATAATCCGAAGTGGTCGCGCTATGTTGTGAGTTGGCAGAAGTTAGAACTTAAGAACCATTGGATCGGGTTCCAGTGGCTCAATGGTCTACGGGCTCGCCTTGTAATCTGAAGGTCCAGGGTTCGAACCGTGGTGGTTTCGTACTAATGAAGAGTTCCAAACTAGGATGAAACAGCTGTCCAGTACTCCCAGGTTTTCCAGTGGTTCTCCAATTGATGTCAGCTCATGATGAAATTCTCCGTGCAACTATGTAAGACTCTTCTAGATGTCTAGATCAATTCAGTTGGTCATACTGTTAATTATAGTACAATAAATGTCTTCAACTCGATACGATTCTATTGTACTGTTTTGAATATCATTATGTGTGAAATAACAGAAAAGTCGTCCTTTTGATTATTAATTATTCCGAAAGTCTTATACTGCGGGATTAGGACTTATTGTTTAAGTTGGCTGTCCAAGAATGACATTCAGGCAATTGTATGGGAGGGGGGGCGGAGATGAGAGCTTTCGAGGGATCGTGGGACCAGCAAACGAGGACTAGAGAGCAGAGAATGAAATAGAGGGCGTATGTTCCATTCGGAACCTTAGAGAATAATAATAGTCATACTCAATCACTGATATTTATTTATTCACTGAATCAATGAGAATCACTGAAGTATGACATCCGAACTGATTAAATTACAAAGCAATACTAATGTCTGAGAAAAAGAACACCCTCTATTGTGTCAACTTTCAACTTTTTTTCCAGTTAACAGATACTGATTACAAATATGCTTTAAATAAATGTTATAATCACTGAGAATGAATAAACTGGAACAAAAGTATAACTTTTTTTAGGATAAATAATTATTTAATTATTTCTATGTGAGGAAAAGGTGAGAATGTTAGAAATGAGAATGCCTTGGTATGAATAACCGAATCAATAACTACTCAAGCTCATGAGAATAGTTTCTTACAGATGCTTTGTTTTGATAAGAATTTTAAAAGTAATCTAACAGTGGTAGTAGTATAAATTAGTTGTTTCCCCGTCAAATGTTATAGGATGAGAGACGGGGGTTAGGATAACACTAAATTCTTTGTCAGTAACGCCATTTTTTTCTCACAATTACTGACAAATTAGATGACCTTGACAATTAATATGGTTGTAATGCAGCAATTGAAAAGGGTAAATATTCTTCCGGATATTGAATATCGGATTTGTTTGGATAGTTTAAAACCGCCATATTTGAATTATGTGTTATATCAATACTGCTATCATTATTATCATTATTAGCATCAGTTGTTTTATGAATGTCGTGATTCATTTGCCTGTCATGAAGAAATAATTGATTTAAAATAATGGTAGAACATCTTCCACTTTGAGAATCTTGTAAATCAGGTTCTTCTAATTTCAATGTAGTAGTACGTTCATCGGTAGGCAATGGATAACTTTCTATTTCATTGATTGATTTGGAATTGTCCAGGAAACTCGAATACTTCGTCTCTGTTTTCTGATATGTTTTAACCAACTGTCTGTCTGAGTTTGTTTTATTGGTTTGACGTCTTTTGTAATTTTTCAACTTGGCGGCTTCATTGCTTGTTTTAAAAACTGATTGTTTGGTGCACTTTTTAATTTCAAGTAGATTTGGCTCAAAATATTTGTAGTCAGAGGTATTGTTTGCCGCCCAATAGTCTGAATTCATACAGTTTTCAGTGTGTGTACCGTCAGATAGTTGTTGAAATTCACCTGGAGTTGATGAAAAGTGATTATAGTTTAAATTTTCAGTCTCAGGGGTTAATTTACTCTTGTGTTTGATATTTTTCAAACGATTGATTTGTTCTATATTCATTGAATTCCGCCACTTATTCCAGTAATGTCGATGGTGCTGGTGATGATGATAGTAGTAATAGGAACTTGTTGATTGAAATGAATTGAATTTTGGTAAATCTTTTTTTAACACTCTTGTCCATAATTTTGTTAGATTATTTTTTCCTGGTTTACGTATCAGTGAGAAATAATTGCTATTATCGTTATGTCGTGATCGAATATGAAGTTTTAAAGATGATCCTTGAGTAAAGGCTACACCACAAGCTGAACATGAATACGGTTTATCACCTGTAATGAGGAAGATTTACAAAGAATTAAAATATTAAATATGCGGTGAAATTTTATGACAGATTTATAAACATATAATTATGTATATAGAACATAAAATTATTTATAATCCACCAACTAGTATATGATAGAGAAGATTTGTAGCTCAAGTGGATGACTATGGTGTGGTTGTGTTCTCTGAGCTGGATAGTTAATTTGCGAAGCTTTCATCGCCCTACTAGGCAACATCTTCAGCGCATACTTCAATTTGATGAAGTGAGCTTTTAGATTTCTCCACGAGTTTAATAATCACCTCTCCTGGGGACCTTCTAGGTTACTTGTATTAGAAATGATTGTTTCTTTGACTTGAACTTTGACCCTTTGTGTGTGAGGTTCCTTTCTTATTGGTTGATAAATTTTGTCTATCTCTGTGTCTATTGATGGATGATTTATTGAAATGCCAAGCTTCTAAAAATTCTCCAGCGTGGTTGTTGTTTCCTCTGTCTAAAATTTGAACGTTGGTTGTCCCAGTCGATGATGTCAATTGGCAAGCCAACCTAACAAACGAAAAGCCCCAAGGAAAGCACAAAGAAAATCGCCTCACCATGTATAAAGGATATCTCGGAAATCACTACAAGACTCTTCAAACCTTTAGGAATTGATGTCGTACACAAACCAACAAAGTCACTTCACTCAGTTCTGTGTCAGCCAAAAAGACTCAACAGCGAAAGAAGACAAAGCCAACGTCATCTACAAAATAAATTGTAACAACTGAGAAAAGCACTATATTGGCCAAAGTGGACGTCTCCTTCGTCTTGGTATCCACGATCATAAGCTAGCAGTAAAAAGACATGACACCCACTCCCTCATTTCACTACATGCAGATAAACACGGATATCGATTGGACTGGGACAACGTTCAGATATTAGACAGAGGAAACAACAAGCACGCTGGAGAATTTTTAGAAGCTTGGCATTCCAATGAATCATCAATCAATAGACACATCGAGATAGACAAAATTTATCAACCGATAAGAAAGAAACCTCACACACAAAGGGTCAAAGTTCCAGTCAAAGAAACAATCAGTTCCAATACAAGTAGCCTAGAGGGTGTGAAAACACACAAAAACAACCAATCAGGTTTTAGGTCCACAGGAGAGATGATTAATAAACTCGTGGAGAAATCTAAAAGCTCACTTCATCAAATTGAGGTATGCGCTAAAGATGTCGCTTAGTAGGGCGATGAAAGCTTCGCAAATCAACTATCCAGCTCAAAGAACATAACCACATCAAAACCAACTACTCTCCTTTCTGAAAAGAATGCGGCGATACTCTATCTACAGGGTGAGGAATTATAAATATATCCACAGTTCCCGTTGTATATACTCAGGTGGTGGTAATAGTCAACGAAGTAATGCATTCAAAGCATACATATACTTCCCATACTTTACGGCGATGCTTTGCGGTATATATCAAAATCGTAGAATAATCAAACCCCACACCAAAATGAAATTAACTAAATCCTCACGGCAAACAAACTGTAGTACACATCTGGATATTCATCCACTTTTTGATCATACTGACAAATCCAAATCACTACTGATACAGCGTCAACAAACTTGGATATCTTAGAAGTAATAAAAATATGCTGACAGCTGCATTTCGAATCCCACTGAGTCATTCGATGGTAATATTCTGCTCCTGCATGCTTCATTCGTCAGTTTGCATGGATTAGTTAGCAGTCATTCTGGTTCCTCATTGAAATGAATCAAAATATTCACCGGTTGCTGATTCATTAATACTTCGCATATTTTGATTATTATTATTGTTCCCTTCGGTTCCTAGTGGAACATAGGGCTTCAGCTGCACGTCTCCACTTGCCACTTCTGTCTTTCTTCTGCTGTACTTTTCACCTGCATTCATGTTAGTCCATACTCTTTCAACTCCTCTTCACACGATCTCCTCAATGTCACCCTTGCAATGACCACCCACTCGTCGCTTCCCTTTAGGGTTCCACGCGGACAATAGCCTGACGCGCGCGCGATGTCACCCAGCGGCCTCCTCAACGAGTATCCAATCCATCTCTACTTTCTCCTGCATATTTATTGGGCGATTGGTTCCATAGTTTCTTGTTGGTGATTCTTTACGGCCGTCTCCGCTCTATACTGAAGATCAGATGGCCGGATACTAGTAACTAGTGTGACGTGTCTAGTTCTTGCTTTGGTGCAGACTGAATGCTTTCAGTCAAGTTTGCAGTATGGCCACAATTCTAGGTGGCTCGCCATCACGGGGAACATTGATTTGATGATATTAGATAGTTAGGGGCAATCTGCAGGAAGCCTTGCCTGACCTAGGTTTCGTGCTACTTCGCAATCACCAGTCAGCAAGGCGCATTTGGAACCTTGAAAAAGCTCATGCTCCTTTTGAGATTCGAACCTGCATCACCCACTGATACAGTCAGAGACGTTACCATGTAATATCACTTCTTTGCATGTTTAAATGAATACTAACATCTGAGGTTAGCGTCTTGCCTGATGATATTGCCAAAAACATTGTTGTCGATAAACTAATTAATGTTTTTACAAGCCATTTTTATACTTTTGTGAATAGCCCATTATATCGACTGCTTGTAGCGCAGCTCTCAGTTGTAACAACGCGTTTTCGACAAATCTAAACAATAATGGTGCTTAGGGTTATGTCATATAAATTGTTTTAACCTATGTTAAGTGTGCCTACTGACATTATTCCATTACCTTTCCTTGTATATATATATCTTGTGTTACGGGAAAATTGTAAATATGCTTACTCCGTGTATATAGTACTTATCATATTGATGATACCTGTAAACTGGCGTCCCACATGTACAAAAAATGAGAAAATATTATTACTATTATTATACGCATATTTCATTAAAGTACGTTTACTATTACCAAAACTACTTATCTAAGCAGAATTGTTTCAACTACAGGAGGATGACAAATAAATTTGTCAAAGCCAGAAGGGGAAAGGTAAGACAGACTATCGTTACTCCGAAATCTTGTCCATCAGGCATAAAGAATTTTCAAAATTAATGTCATATCAGTCAATTCTTCTATACAGATAGGAAAAATGGTGCGTGCCTCAGCTAAAGTATTTCTAGGAGGTTATTGCTGACTTTTATCAACAGTTGCCCCCTTCACTGACTCCATATTGAAGATCAAACGGTTGGCTGATCAGAAAGAATTATCTATAAGAAACTCTGAGAAAAAACCGATCAAGAACCTGTTATTCAACAGATATTCCAATGAAGGTGAGAATGCATTAGACACACTCTGAGGAGACCGCTGGATGACATTGCACACCAGGTGAACCCTTGAGTAGAACCCGAATGGGGAAACGACGAGTTGGGCTTTGGTCCATGGGTGACGTGGAGTAGGTGAGAGTTTATGTGGAGCGGTGAGGTCATCTGAAGAAGAATGAACAGAAAATGATAATGTGGAGATGCGCTGACGGAGGCCTATGTTCCACTCAGAACTCAAGCGAATAATACCCATACATTAAATATAATAATAAGGTATGAATGAGTATGTATATGTCTACACAAATGAGAGAGATTCATAAGCGTTTCCCTTTAAGTTTTCAACTGCATATATATAATGATAATCAATATAGGTTTCTATTTCTAAGTATCTATCAAAATTTCTCAATAAGCTGTGCAGTATGGTCACTAGAATAAGTAAATTATTGCTGTTGACCTCTTCTCTGACAAGACACTAGGTAATAAGTGACTATTGTTCTGCGTCTAGTCCTTTTTTGGTGCAGACTGAATTCATTCTATCAGTTAAGTTTGCAATGTGGCCACAATACTTCTTCCAGTATTTATTTATCCTTAGTAATTTTCTGCGTTATTCATTACATCATTATTACTCACTGTTGAGTTCTTCGTAGGATTTCCTGAATTTTACTGATAGTTAACATTAAGCAACTTTAAAATGCAGTAAGCATTACTACTAGGACCTTTAAGAAATGCTTCTATTTACCAGTGCTGAATAGTTTCCTAGGTAGTCTCAAATTCTAATAACACCTTATGCTATTATGTCATGACTTTCTGGTCGTATTTGTTCTTATATGGAAAAGTATATTCTGTTTTCACTTCATCTTAAGGTAAGTAAAATACAGTGATAACTATAACCCGCCTATGACTTCGGTAATGTCATTTTTATGAGTGATGAGTTGAATTGCAGTGAGAAGGAAAGGTGCCTCGTCCTAGTGTAGGACTCTTCAGTGTTCACCTCATTGAGTGTGAAACAGTTACCTACCGATTTCAGTGGTAAGGGGTGAGTCCATATGGCAGATGTGACAGTAGTTGGAATTCATTGGTCAATAATACACCCACCCTAGTAACTTGATAATTCCGATTTTATCTTTGGCCTCTTAGTTCTCAACGATTCTTCAACTAACGGTGTTAGTATCTAACCTCGCTTTACGAATATAGGCTTTGTAAGCTTCCTCAAATGTATGTAATACATAAGATTCGTTGCATACACTATGAGGGTATTTTTCAGACGATCTTGCAAATATGCAGTATGTAACGTAATAATCACCACCATTGTCTCCCGTTTTACAATATTTTCTAATCGATTTCAGCCCAAAGCACGTTTGTCAAACAAATATGACTATTTATTTTGACACCCTATAACTAATCTGTTATTCTACGTTAAAAATGTATCCACAGCATAACTGACTTTTATTGATATGACAACAAATGCATTATATTTTATAATTGTAAGAACCTAAAGAGGAGAAATTATTGAAAAGAATATTCTTCGTTCAGATTGACTTTTAATTCATAATATCGGAATATTTCACACCATCCCAATAATGTCAATGAATCTGTTGTTAATCAGATAAGTAGGTTGACAAACTCAACTAGAAAATGTTTCACAACTGAATATTACTTTTTTGGTTACATTGTGAAGACTTTATAAATTGAAATGACATTTTCAAGTAAACCATATTTTGGGTGTTAACTAAAACATTTTT